AAAAAAAATAAAAAAAAAAAAAAAAAGAAAAGAAAAAACCCTGCAATGTTGTAATTCTATGACACTTTTTTCTTTTTTTTCTCTTTCCTTCTTTTTAATTTCAGTTGACCTACCCCTCTACTTTCCTCGAGACCAACCAACGCTAACGTTTCAGTCCGTCTACCACTTCACTAACAGTGGCCAGCTGTACTCCCAGGCCCAGAAGAATTACCCTTACAGCCCCCGCTGGGATGGCAATGAAATGGCCAAGAGAGCAAAGTAAGTCACATTGCTGTTTCCTACTAAATATTCCATTTGTTACATTGTCACCTCTTGATAGAAATTTCATGGATTTAACTGTGCATTTCCAGCGTTATAAAAGCTGAACCTGTTTTTGTTCTCATATAGTCCTAGCATTTCCCACATATGAGTATAGACAGATACTTTATTAATTATGCTTATTACATTAGTGCCAGAGGACTGATCAAAAGAAGACTCTTTCTGCTAGACATTGTACGGGCACAGAGTGGTGACAATCTCTGCGCCAAAGAGCTTCCAATCTAAGTAGACAAGATAGCCCCCAGCAGGAGTAATCTGCATGATAGCAGTCAGTCAAGGTAATTCCATGGTTTTGTGTTGGCATCGGGGAAGACCCTGAAAGGGAAGCATGTGAGATGGGGGAAGAAAAACCTGAAAGATATGGAATAAGGCTGTAATAAAAAGACACAGGAGAGCAGGAGGAGGTAGAGCAAACCACCAGTCCGGCATAGGAGGCAGTCCTATCAGAACATGAGAAAGTTATCTGAAAGTCTGAATATCTCTTTCTTTACTGTTTTTTCTGTTGGCTAGAAACAGAGAATCTCTGACTCTTTCCTCTGCAGTTTTTCTGCAAGCCCTTGTTTCAAACTGGGGAGACACCGCTTCAGTCCGAGTATCCCTTTAGTTAAAGATGACAGGACAGCCTCCCCAGAGTGGTTCTGTTGCAAGGGCAAGCTGCCCTGGGCAGTGGTGCCCTTTCTGTATACTAGATGTTATCCCTGTCTTCTAATGAAGCGAAACAGATTTTACCTGAATGGAGCAATATGGACAACGGCCTTGCTGCAGTATTTCAATTTTGCAAAGTGTAAAAATGTTAGAACAGCAAGAGATTTAAGCAGGCTGATTATCAGTTGTTCAGCACGTAAAAGCATCAAACTGCATAAATAACAAGGCATATTGGGATGAACGTTTTGAATGACAATCAGAAGATTAAATTAAATTAGCAAAGATGCATAAATAAAAGTCGAATGAAAACAGTTCAAGCTGAGTAAATCAAATGAATGGCATGGTCAGAGACTGATTGTAATTTGGAAATGATGGAAGCAAACAACAGTTGACTGAAGCATTTGCAGATTTTATACTAATTTAAATTTTATGGAGAACATCAAGTAACATTTGATTTTGGATTTTGATGCATTGTAGTAGAAATTTTTTTGCTAGTATTTGGTTTTACTACCATACTGTCTAGGAGAGCCATTTCTTGATCAAATATGATTTTTTGCGAGGGGACTTCTTTTTTTTTCTCCAGCAGAATATTATGAGTAGTTTGTTTAAAAAAAAATGAAACAATAACTGGAAGCATTACTGTGGCTTTTTTTATCACTGTACTACAAAATGCATTTCTCTTGCAGCTGGAAGCTCACAAGTACCTATGTGCTGTCTGCTAAGTGCATTCATTTATGAGCGGGTGTATACAAATGGACTTCTCTGCCCTGCACTTGAAATTTAGAAGTATTATAACAGGTCTTTTAAAAAGCACTAAATGTGTACAGTTATTATCACATGTATGTTTTGTGAGGTTATTCACTCTTATGTTTGAGCCTTTGCATTTAAGTTTTACACTGGATACGTAACATGAGAAAGATGATGAGAAGCGGGGGAAGAAAGTATGCTGCAATGTCTGAAATAACTGTCATTGAGCTGCAAAGAGACGGAGAAGCTGCTCTAGTTAAAAGCGCTTTGCTTGCAGGAACAACTAGTGATTCCTGAGTAGGTACCATAAATAAATCTGTATCAAGAAAAGTATGATGTTATGATACGTGTTAGCATGTTTTAAGATTTTTAGCACAATTGAGCACCTTATGTAAACAGCGTTTAAAATATTTGCTAGGGCTTCTTAGGTTAGTGTGTTTCGACACAACCAAATAATTTTTCATTCTACTTCATTTTTACCGTAGCCATGTTATGGACCGAGTATATGGGAATATATGTAGGTATATAGGAAAGCATTCTGATTAAATATATTAGTTCAAGCACCATGTCAAAACATCCCAAAGAAAAACAGAAAAGAAGGATACATGATTTAGCCTCGAGAAGCCACGTAATTCTGCTCAGCTGAAGTAAATTTAGCCCTGGATAAATCAGAGACAACTTGTTTGTGTTTCTAAATACTATCTATTAGGTTTTGCTTATATGTAGTCTTTTCCCCCCTTAGCCAAATGGTCTCCCAAGTGCTTAGCATCCTTTGAGACAAAACAGCTCTGTTTAGCTTTCTGGCCCTACTGTTCTAAGGCCACGGGATCTCCCACTTGACATTCTGATATCTGACAAAATTCTCCGCCCTTATTCTCAGACACTCGAGGGATAAGTTTACACCATCTTCCTCACTGTAGCTTGAGATACCATCAAGGCGGGCTTTTGCTTGCTCTTGGACCAGCTGGGTTCATTAGCTGTCCAGTCATGTACTGAATGAAGCGTGTATACCATATTACTTTATAGGTTACAGAAGCACCACCAAGTTTGAAACACCATCACTCAAGAGATTTCCTAATCCTCAATTTTGGCAAGCCCTGCCTCTGTTTTCAGCAGCTCAATACAGCCTGCTTATTCACAGGCAGAGCTGTCATAAGTTCATGCCAAAGGGGCTTTGATTCTGTGCCCAGCCTTCTCCCAGTGTTGGGTTTGGCTTGTTGTTTTTTTTTTTTTTCCAAACAGGTGAGCCCATCCAATTCCTTCAGCTCAGGGGCTAAACTTGAAAGTCTTGGTATCCTTGCTTATCTTTGTGGCCCCCAGCAGAGGTAGGCATCTCTTTTGAAGTTAGGACTTAACCCTTTGCTGTAGCCTTGAGACAATCAGTAGTAATTATAAGTAGGAGCAAAATTACTCCCCTAAAATACATACATATAGAAGTAGATTGTATGCATTCACACTTAGACACATATCACCTAAATCTAAAAGGCAAATTCTCAAATCAGAGTATCAGTTTAGCAGGATCTTTTTCATTCACAGAGAAAAACTGCTTGTGTTCTTGCTGAAGTAATTGGACCAATTTGTGCCTGTCTGATAAAGTCCATGAAATCGAGTTTCTCTTTCTCTGTGTCCTCTTAAGCAGTTTTTTAAAATCACCTGGCTCCTTTGAGGCCCACTGACTTAGATTCCTCGCTGAGAGATAGCATCTAGTAACTGAAGCTTGCTGTTGTCTTGGCCCAGGGATTGCCCTCTGGCTTGATTTAATTCTAAGGGACAAATCAAGTCCTGATTAAATCATGGGATTCCGAATGCCTCCAGATTGCTTGTTTCTCAACTAAACGCAAAATTTTAACCTGTTCCTCCAACTAGAAACAGGGAAACCAAAAATACTAAAATTTTCTTACAAGCTGCTGAGATGCCGTTTCCTCTCAGTTCACATCTCAGGCTTTGCCTCTCTTAGGTCATTTATTTATATGTCTGTGGCCTTCTGCGTAAGCAGCTTCTCCATAAGATGTGGTCCTAAAATACAATAGCAAGCCTAAGAAAATACAGTAAATTATGGAAAGTTAGCAGCCTTGTTTGTGGTGTACGTGTGAAGTAAAACATCTCTGTGCGGTTTCCATGGGAAAGCTCTCTTGTTTTTTGCTTAAATAGGCATTCAAGCGTACATAAATGGAGTCTTTAAAGAACATGCAGACACTAAGCCTGGGATTTTATGAAGGAATACTGTAAATAAAGCTTGTTTGTTTATACAAATTAAGTTCAGTTCTTAGATGCACTCTGGCCCGATTTCTGTCCGACCCAGTGCTGCTCTGTAGACTTAGGTCATACTTCAGGGAGAGCAAGTCAGGACTCAGTTTACTCTTTTATCCTACATAAATCCACCTACTCGTCATTAAAAATAGCAGGAGGATGGAAAACTGGTATCACAATAAAAAGTTGTTCCGAGGCTTCATATTATTTTTTCAATGTGACTGATAAAACTGGTTTCTGAATAACATTGTTGTCCCTGGCCATTCACCAGTGTTTGCTGAATGTGGTGTTAATTTTACATATCCCTCAGGGCTCTGTAAGGGTGAAAGCTTAAAAGGGCTCAAGTGCTCTCAACTGTATATTGGCTGTTGCTCTGCCATAAGGTCAAGTGCAGCTTAAGATTATATGCAGACGCATCTTGTGGGAGCTACGTATGTATCACCAGTGTGACTGCAGCTACGGTTCGTGCTCAGCGCAAGCGTGCTATGATTAGAAAGTGTCGGGCTGGTGCACTGGGCCGTAGCATTTTCAGCCTCATCAATACCTTTTCCTTGAATATTTTAAAATTAGAAGATGTGTATCATGTGAAGATGCTAGTTGCTATTTGGCTGAAATGGTTGCTTTAAGCTTTAATGTTCCCTGGCAAGGAGAGGAGATACATCTTTTGGTCTAATAAAAAAGATATTTGGAAAAAAGGGATAATTTTGGTGTTGCTGTTTAGACAAACTCAGTTGTAATATGTCAAAGACTTGCTGTTGCATTCAGTATATTTTGAGTGCCCTAATGATTTTTTTTTATATTGACATTAACCAGTTTTTCAACTCATCCTTTGTTTTTTTAATTATAAAGTCAGAATTCTTTCACATTTTAGGCAGAATGTGTATGACTACATTTTGCATTCTTTCAAAGTAACAGGTTTCCCTGTTTCCTTGAAACTTTTGGTTTCTACCTATGCTACCTTGAATCTCACTATAAAGTTTACATGTAAACATTGTAGCTTTTTTATAATCTTCTCTCTCCCTGATAGGTGTAATTAAGGTAATAAATCATTTGTTATTATTTGGGTTGTATTTCAGTATTTTTCCTGCTTATTTGTAAAAGTAGCAAATTGTATTTTCACATATTACATGATTTTCGTGGACATTAGGCATCTTTAAAGAGTGGATTTCCAAAAACTAACTCGTTTGCATTCACATTCTGCTCAGAAAGCTTTTTCCTTGGCTGTCTGGCTCTGGCTCTGCTGCATGTTACCCTAAACTTAAGAAGAAATTTAGAAAAACGAGAGTAGGGATCAGAAG